GGTTTCAACAACAACAAAGGAAACGAACTGCAAACAAGTAATCCATAAATTTAGATACTTGGCTATCAGCGGTTTCAACAACAACAACAACAACAACAACAACAACAACAACAACAACAACAACAAATAAGATAATTTGTACCAGAATATTAGCGCCGATGCTAGTTCCAACAACAAATAGAGGAGCTTCAGGATATTGGTGGTGGAGATGGTCAATCACCTTTCTGACATCCTCAGTCCATCCCCCATTATAAAAGTTATCAGACTGTGGACAAGCAATAAAACAGAGAAATTATAATAAAAGAACAAGTGGCACCAGACAAACTTCATGTTCTATGCACAATGAATTCAAACCATATAAAGCAGAGAGTCCCAATGCATTTCCTTAATTAATTGAAAAATGCATTTCAATGGATAGAAAATTTCACCATATTTGTTTGATTTTTCATTGTTAACTGTACTTATAGCAAAGGGGAGAGGAAGTCAACATCAGCTTATCGTACTTCTTAGGTGGTAATCAGTAAATAGGCGAGGCAAGAAGCATAAAATTCTTACCGGTTGTGTTTTGGCTGAGTATCGTGCCATGGCTCACACATGTGAGTTGATGGTTGAAGGCATTTTAAGATTAGGTACATTTATATACCATTATAATATACGTCTATTATACTGCGGTAGTTGTGTCTACCCCTACACAGAAAACCTTTTTGAAATTCATTGTCACCTCAAAAGAAATAGTTGCTAATATGTTCACCAAAACAGGAGACTTTAAATTGAATGTCAAAAACCGTAATGGGCATCTATGCTCCAGCTTAAGGGTAAGAATGGGGGAACTTTAGTCAACTAGATGAACCAAGAGCTATTTGATTCACAGTTAACTAGTACATAAGATGATCAGCTAACATTGACCATTTCGTTGTATATTAAGCTACAAAATAACACAGATTATACTATTCCCATCCTCAACGAGCTCATCTCTGGTTTTCCTGTGTTACTCCATAGCATCTGATGTTTCACGTATTTGAACTATATATTCTAATTGTCGCAATAGAACAATTAAGTTTCATGCACAAATAACATAGTTTGAATAATTCAAATTTGGAATGTGCTTAACAATAAAACATAAATGCTACACCAGGCAACACTTTGACTGCTCCATTGAAAACAAAGCTCTCAAATTTGCTAAAGCAACATATTAGTGTGCTATGCTTACCGTAATTGGTACACCACCAAGTCCCCTGTGATTGCTCACAACAACATTCCATCCGTGTTTAGCCATGTTAAAAGCCAAATGATTGATATACTGCAGATAAATATTACTATATCAGAGAGAAATATGGCAGATGGGACAACTATGAAGTGATACAAGTGCTTTTACAAAATGAAAATGAAATATTTCAAAGTTATTCTGCACCTTTCTGATGAATATACATCCACAACAAGAGTTATAGGTTAAATACGAGATAGCTAGCAACAGGGAGAGGAAAACTAAGAAGAAAAAGGAAAAGTGAATGCATATCATATTAGAGTAACATGTCTTAAATGCCAACCATGTCTCCAAGACTCCTAGTATTCAACTATATCTGCTATACGAAATTGCAAGATAAAGACAAATATCATTTTACCTAGAGGAGGTAAGCTATGCATCTCGACCTCAAAGGATCACAACATCATATTTAAAACGACAGTTCTAGTTTATCTCGTACCACTAATAATGAAGATGACAAAACTTCACAGAGCAAATTATATGCAATAAAATTCTAACTTGCAAAAATATCACGTAACTTTGAGTGGAGATCAAATTTACTGCTGAAAAGACAGATTATGAAAGAGGTGGTGGTTGTCAAAATAAGAGGTTTAGATTTCGAAATGGGAAAATGAAGCAACACGCCAACTATTACCATTTTTGAGACACAGCAATATAAGGTGCTTTAATAATACATTTTAGAAGTCAACTACATGTGTTTAGGTTCATGATCCGGACAAAACAAGGACAGAGCATATCGTTCTCAGTGCATATTAAATGCTACATCGAAATATAGCTACAGTGCAGTAACAGCTCATCACTTAGCACCTTCATGAAGATCCAATAATTATTAAAGTGCTTTCAGTTATTATAGTTTTCCTATTTCTGTAACTTAACATGCTACTGAAGCATAAGGAACAAATGCGACCATCCGGAATGATGATCCTAATCCGACGTGCACTGGAAAACGAAATTGCAATAATGAGGAAGTCATAAGAATCTGCTACTTAATATCATGTAAAATAATAGTTCTCTGCTTACAGCAAGAGCGCTGTCAAAACACGTATTAAATAAATTTATGAATGACCACAATCAAAGCCATCATTTCTGACAATAAGAGATGGCTAATGGAGTTCATAGGTATGACCATAATAGACAAAGTGAACCAAGATGGATGACTAGAAAATCCAGAAAACTTACAGGAGAATTAGAATCACTGGTTAATCCCGGAACGACAATTATGAGAGGATTTTTATCATCTTGCCGAACAGCATCATTTACTTGATAGTCTTGTTTCTTAGCTGATAAGAACATAGCTAAAATTCATTAATAACTTAAACAGAGTAAGCCTATCAGTACGGGAATAGTATTTACTCAAAAAAATTGTAAATATAGATGATGAATTTGCCAAGATTATGGCATTTTACAGCCACATATTAATTAAAAAAAGATGACTTGTAAAAGCAATGTACTACCAAAAAATGTATAATACAAAACAAATAAATACACTAACAAAAAGGAAATAAAAGAAAAAGGAAACCAAGTCATATATGGATGACAGTTTAGTACATATAAAGCTACTAAATCATCTTTACCAACAATTCTATAGATCAAGGCGTAACAAGGAGAAATGTATTGAAATAATTAGACTGAAAATCATTGGGTATTTGTAAGATATGAAATTTCCAAAAAAAACTTCGAATATTTTTTTTATGTTGTACTTTTCCCAAGTTAATCAATCAATGATGATAGATATTGTCAATGCCTCATTAGCAGACTTCGGTCAGAGATTCCTAAGTATTATTTGATAGTGGTATTCCAATGCTGATTGAAAAGCATAAAGGAGGTATGTTGACACAACAAGGTCAAACCAACAAATAAAATTATTAAAGCCCCAATCATATTTGCATAAACGCAAAGTCTACAACTCGTGAAACTCAAACCTGAAACAAGGACAGATACACATTACCATTGGCATTCTTGACCCAGTCTAAAGCTAAAGTTCCACCGTCAGAGGTCATAAAGATCTGCCTGAACACTCATCGAATTAGTTCAACTTCATGCAATGTAAACAAATCTATACACACAAACCTTCCATTTACAGAAGGTTCCCCAAGAAAGCACAGCAAAAATCATGTACATTATACTAGACGTCACCTTCTGTAATTAACAACAGGCGAATTCCCGAAATAGTAGAGAAAAGCTGTCTGAAGATGCGGACTTGACAACCACGGTGTCGATAAGTACCTGATATCAATCAAATTCAAAAGAACCAACAAACAAGCTGAAATGTTAGCACCAAGCACAAACCCAACGTGAAAAATCAAACTAAACACAGCCAACCACAAACACGAACCATTTATCGGACAAAAATTGATTCTTTATGCGACTTTAGTCTTAATCACTAGTATTAACATTTCATCTACCTGCCATGAAGAGTTCTACACTTGGAAACAACATCGCGGTAGAGTTGAGAACGAGGATCGAAAGTCAAAACCACGGGCTGTCCCCTGAGCCCGCTGAATAAATCTCGCAGAATGTGGATTTCGAGAAAATGGTACAGAAACACGATTAAAATGAAGAAAAATCCCAATATACAGTGAGAAATTGGTATGAACGACGCCGCGTGAAGCAGCAGCTCGTACGGAGATTGAGCCGCCGTTGACTCCATCGGCCGGGGAGAAACAAAATCGATCAACTGATGTATCTAATATACAAATATCTGCGAGTGCTTGTGAGAGAGAGAAAGAAGGAAAAGGGGTTGGAAAAACTGAAATAGTTTTGTCCGTTAATGGCGGACGAAGTCGTGGGTTTCCATTTTTATATATGGTGGCCAATTGCAATTGGTTTTTGTCTCACCAATAATTAGCTTACGCGTAGCTTGGGAAATTTAGAACACGGTATGCGACGAGCGAGGTCTCAACGGGTATGACAATTTTGACTTGTAGCAACGGCTTGGTGAAGATAGGCGCTAGCGGGTAGCGGCAATTTGGACTGGCCTACCCATAGGAGTTTGGGGTTGGACCGGTGGAGGACTTGTCACATCTTTTATTTCATAAAGAGAGTCAGGGCATCCACATCACTTAACACAAAAAATCATTCATTCAATCAAAAAGTAACAACATCTTTCATTCACATCACTTTTTCACTAAATCTCTCTCCATTTAAACACACATCCACATTCATACCCATTCATTTAAATACATATGTGGGACCCATTATCCACTCATTTAATATAATTTTTTATATTCTATTCACAATAAAAATAAATTTTAATACTTTTAGGGTCAGTTTGGTTGGACTTTTTGATTGGGCTTGATACAATACTTTAGGTTTGGGCCCTGTTTTATGTTTGAGATTATCCATAAGTTAAAGGTGTTTGGTTGCATTTTTTTATTTAGGATTCGACCCTAATAAGTTGTTTGGTTGGGATTTATAACTCAAATTTCCTTTTCAAATTTTTTTTTTTTTTTTTTTTTTTTTTTTTTTTTTTTTTTTTTTTTTTTTTTTGTGTTTTCTCCTACTTCCCATTTTGACACCAAAGAGACAAAATTCGACGCCGATTAGAAGGAGAGATTCAGACGAAGAAGGTGATTCCGACTGCATACTTGAATTACAGCAACTCGGATTCTCGGCGGAAAGACAAGCTCTTACAGACGAACGAGACGATTCCTGGACAGGTGCCTCATAATCGGGCTTCATCAGAAAATCACCAGGTAAGCTTATAAATCGATTTACTTTCTTGGCAGAGTAGATTAATTTCTGGCAACATTTGTTGTGTGCAATTATTTAATTTGTTCACTTTGTTCAATTACTATTTCGGACTATACCCTAAATTAGGGTTCCCTTGTTCGATATCGACATTCATAATTACAGTTGATTATGTTTTATGTGTGTAATTCAAGAATTTTGATCTACTTTGTTATTATCTTTTGGGTAGTTTAGTTTTTCTCTTTGTAATTTTTGGTTGGTATCTTGTTGTTGTGTATGCTATGTTCTGTTGTTGTGGGTAGTTGATAGGCAGTGGTCTTTGGTGCATCTGTTCTGCATTTTGGGGTTGGCTGTAGGTTTTTGGGTGGTAGTTGGCTTAGGGGAGAATGGTACTAGGTTTTATTTTCCCCTTGGTTTTAATTTGTCCAGCTAGGTTGGACTTTGATTGTTCCAATCAGTTGATTGGCTTTTGTACATTTCTTGTTATGTTATAAAATTTATCCGTTTGAAAAAAAAATTTCAAGCCTTCTTCTGCTTTTCGAGCTACGAGCACGCAAGGTCCTGGAGGAGTTGACTGTATGACGAGTTGAGAGTTTTGGTTTGTCTGAGAACATTTGGTCCAGTTAGTTTCTCCTTGTCTATTGCATCAGATATATGGTTCTAAAGATATTTATATATTTTAGTGGAGTGGTGGTATAGATTTTCATTTTTCAGTCTTTTAACAGTCTATGTCATATTTTGTCAGTGTTTGAGAGCTGGTCCAAACATCTTGTACAGAAGCAAATGACATAACTTCTTTTGTGAGCTCTCCTTTGACATTGAAATTATCCTTTGTTATGCACCAATTGTCTTACATATGGTGAAATGGGCTATGGGAAACTCATGACTGAACTTGAGTTTTGTATGTTTACATTGGCAGGAATGAAACCACATACTCGAAATGATGACATTGCAAAGCTCTTCTGTTGTGACGGTTGGAATGAAAACGAAGAGAACTTTCTCATTGAACAACTTGAATATGCTGCTCTTAATATACCTGTAAGTTCCATTACCACATTTGATACCTGTTTGTGGTATATCACTGGGCTATTGATAGAAACATTTCGGAAAGAGTTTTCTATTCCAATGGTAAAACAAAAAGTCATCCATTTGCGGAGACAATACAATTCCTTTTTGGAGTGGAAACAAATACCAGGCGTATATCACAATCGAAAAGCTAACAAAGTCTCTGTCGATGGAGTGTATTGGCAATCAATCACTAAGGTTAGGTACATCATATATTGCTGATCCTTTTACAATTCATTCTTCAGGAAGCTATAGACAGAAGGTTTATTTTTCATTGAACTATTTTAATGTTTCAGGAAACTGTGGAATGGAGGTTTTTCAGAACCTTTGGGATGAAACATTTTGAAACAGCAGACTTATTGTTCAAGACAAAGAATGCAGCGCCTATTGTGTTCCTCGGTGCTAGATTTAGAGGAGACAATTGTTATTAGGCCACAAGTGTTGTGTGAAGTTGTAATAGAACTGTAACATTTTGAATTAGTATGTAATGACTTTGGGTTGGTACAAGGACCTGATTTTGTAATGTTAACAGTTTGTTCACTTTTGTATTGGAATATATGAATTTATTGAGCAGTTGGATATTTATAGCCACTTGGAAGTTATTGAGCAGTTGGATTAGTTGGATTTATAATGGTAATAGTTTGTTCACATTTGAATGATTCTATGAATTCATGATTGATTCTACAAATTGATTGGAGAAACAGGAAGTATATTTGAAAGTATGTCTGCAAATGTGGATGAAGTTTTGGCAGTACATAATTTGTTTGTAAAAAAAAAAAAAACATGTTTTGTGTGGCACTATGAACAAACAACATTAAATCAAACACAAGTGTTGCACATTACTAGTTTTCAAACAATAATAACTCATCCACAGGTACTACTTCCATTCAAAGAATAATACAACTCAAACAATCAATAACTCATCCAAATTTAATCAGACTCAATACATTAGCATTCAACCTGCAACACTTCAATTAAGACATATTAGGAAGCTAGTGTTCATGTCACTTGAAAAAACAAATGGCATGCAACTATTGTCAATACTTACCATAGTTAAAATACCATACAACAATGATCAAGCCGAAAAGGATAACGAAAAAACACCCCTTACTCTCATGACTTATTTTTTTATTTATTGAATCTAATAGCTCCAGAAGCTCCACATTTGAGCTTTTACAACTTTTAGTTTTTTTTTTTCCTTTTTATCTAACTTGTGAGTTAAAACTTCCAACAATGCGTCCTTCTTTTTAACTTCTTCCTCCAACATTAACTTAGATGATTTGAGGTTTAGGTAGCATGCCTTCTGAAAAGGAGGTAGTTCGTCGTCGATCCATTCAAAGAACTCACAATCCTTCGCCTACAATAAAAGAAAGACATGATGTTAAAATTTTTTCTCAACTGAACGGCCATAACTATATTACAACACCATTCATAACTAACTTTGTGAGTCTAGATTATATGTCAACCATATATTCATTTATTGCAAATCCCAACCCATCTTTTGGCATTAGGTTTAGAGTTGAGGATTGCATATGAAACTCCATTTTTAGTTTTAAAAAGCTTCCAGGAGCTTTAACTTACATGAAAATTCCAAAACAAACAAAAAACCAGCTTCTCAAATTTTGAAACCCCCAAACAAACACTCTTACAACAATATTATATTAATTTGAGTCTTACAACAAAAAACAAGCTTCTCCAATTTTAAAAAAGTCATGAAGATAAATACATAAATGAAGCAAAACTTAAGCTAATTACTAAACATACACACCTATATATAACCAAGCTAAGACTTTAAAATCGAATATTATGAAAAAGAATAGCAAACGTGTTTGTAACCAAAAGAATAGCAAACGTGTTTGAAACCAAAAGAAAACAGATGCTTTAATATATTGAAAAAAAAAGTATAAGCTAAACAAAAGCTTAATCCCAGTGCAAAACAACAAATTACAATCAAATTTATCTTCCAAAAATGAACAAACAAACCTACTAAAAAAACAAAGCTTATAAATTACAATGACATTGAAGCCAATACTTACATTTCGATATTTGCATCTATAGTACCTCCTACACGGATTTTTTTCTGTGTTGGACGTTAAAACTTGAGCCTCCTCGTGATGTAAACACCTTCTTGTCTGAGGTTGGTATATGTTGAAGCTATGAGACGGTCTTTCGGACGAGCTATTTCTAGCACTATCTCGAGACATTTATCGTGCAAGCTAATCTTGTGTTTGAAGGAGAAGGCTGAAAATTTAATGTTGTTTGAGGAAGATCTATCTTTGGCTCATTGGTACATGAACAAAGGCAACATGACTCTCTCTTTTGGTAATAAGATGGAAATTTTAATGTTCTTTGAGAAAGACCTCTCTGTTGTCTGATGGTACATGAATAATTGCAATTATACCTCTCTTTGGCTGAGGAAGACACTATATGGCGTGCATCATCTCTGTCCAAGCTACTGAAGAGGTCGTCCTTTTATGTCTGTTACAGAATTCTGGCTTTGTCCCCAAAAGAGTGCTTTGTTGAAACAAGTATTTAAATAGTACGAATATATTCTGATTCCCTATCATATTGCCCTTCATCAATCAATCTCGTGTCAAGAAAAAAAGAATATATTCCCTCTTACAAGGAAAAAAGACCCATAGACTCCTGTGATGAAACAATATCTCCTACTTTTTTGGTGAGATAACTTTGTTTCAGACTTTTTGGTTTTCAATAGATGCACAACAATACAAACTCTAATCTTTATTCACTATCAAACTCGTCGGTTACCACTGGATTCTTCCACTTTTTAGTACATGGAATATATTCCCTTGGTAATCAATCAACTCTCTGACCTGACAAAAGAAAAAGGTGAACATCTCTTTGAACAGATCACTTATGTTGTGCATGAAATATGGATTAGAGGCACGCAGATCCATTATATATTTTCATGCAGATAGAAGTATTTTGAATACGAAGGAAAAAAACAATAGAATTGAAAAAACTATTTTTCTAAAATAGGTCGTTGCACGTAAATGGCTCCCAAAAAAATTTTCTCTGCTTCAGTTGCACAAAGTAAGGTTTTTTATTCTGGGGAATGGACTAGGCAAATTGAAGAAGTGTTCGTCCAAGAGTTGGTTAACCAAGCGGCTGAGGGAAATTTTGAGGTTGGCCGTTCAAACCATCATGCTATACTGAGTGCACAAGGACTCGTGAACGCACAATTTGGTAAGAACCTTGATTTTAACTATTGCAAAGGAAAGCTACATAAACTCCGTAAACGCTATGAAGTTTTCACCTGGATAACACAACAAAGCGGGGTTGTGTTCACATATGGAACCAATAAGGTTGAGGCGACCGAAATTACCTGGGAGTATCTTATTCGAGTAAGTAATTTTATATTTTTGTTAGGTAAACATAGATTGTTGTTTGTTATTAACATAATTATTTATTAATTTATTTTTCAGTTACATTTGATATTTTTGGTTTTCACAAATGATATTTTGGTAAATATTGTAGAAAGAAAAGCTAGCCATGGCATACATGAAGGAGGGCGAGTCCGCTCTCGAAGGGATGCATTGTTTGTTTGGAAATGGTAACATCAACGCCCTCGTGCAACCTAACCAAGTGATTCAGCTTTCTGACGATGAAGTTGAAGAAGACAATGATGATCAAGACGAAGGAGACAATGACGAAGACGACAATCCCTATCTGGCTACTGAAAACGACTCTGACAATACAAATAATTGTTTTCACTATGAACTTGCATGGTACAATACTGACTCCACAAGTGTTTCGTCTATTGCCGACCCAGAAAAACCACCAACCAATCTAGCTTCCACTTCTGCTGTTATGAAGAAGTTTGACAACCACTGGGCGTCCCACGATTGGGAAAAGAACGATGACAACATTTATGATATTCCAAACAGCTCTACTGCATCTTCGTCGTCTCCTTACAAAAAATAAGAGACGACAAAAAATCTCAAAAATGGCGATGTATTGAGTATGTGCGAGTTTATGTATGTTTGTTTCGTGTGTGACTAATAAACTACCATTGCCAACGGTTCACGACTTGTCGGAATTCGAAGGATGGTAGGAGTTGATGTAGGTTGAACTATTGCGAGTTTTAAATTTTATGTATCCTGTGTGACTAATAAACCACCATTGCCAACGGTTCACGACTTGTCGGAATTCGAAGGATGGTAGGAGTTAATGTAAGTTTAACTATTTCCAAGGTTTTAATGTTATTTATCATGTATGACTATTTTCATCTCATTTGGATGAATATTTACTGTACATAATTTTTATTTTTATTTTAAAACGATGCTAAAATTCCATTACTCAAAATAAGAGTTATACAAACGAGGGACTAACTAGCCCCATACATCCAACTAATCAACAACTAACAGGGAGCACCCCCCCTCCCCTAATTACCATACAAAGCAAATCTACAACCAGATTACAACCATCAACATTCAACTAGGAAATCAAAAACACACAAATGACACTAAGCATAACAATAGCTGGAAGCAGCAAGACAAAACATTTCCATAAACAAAATGCTTGAAACCTTAACATAACATTTCCATAACACATTGTTCATACATGTGTGAATCCAAAAGACAAAACATTTTACATTATCCCAGCTCAAACAAAACGATTTTAGGTACAACATACCATACATAAATCTTTGAAGCTCACAAAAATCTGGGTTTATATAGTAGAATAAAGTTTACCCATAAACAAATCAAAATACAAAGGTCATACTATTGAAATACAATGACAATAGCTCCCTAAATACTTCCGGTCAACTTCATTCGCACGAATTCAGCTCGGGCAACATTATCGAGACTGAAGAACAGATCCAACTCGTCGGTATTTTTTACTAACATTTTGGAGATTAGCAACTGTTGTTGCAGGTTCAATCCTTCAATTTCCCTCACAATAGAATAAACATCCTTACGAGCACTTGAGACATCGTAATCATAGCCAATCCTATTCGCAATTTTCTCCAAACGAGCACCCGTGCTTTCAGCAAAAATTTTCATAACTTCACACAGAGGATCAGCACTCTGACCTGACTTTCGCTTACGCCCTACGCTTTTTTTTGTCCCCGTAGAAGTTGGTTGGGTGCTCTCCGACATTGTCTCGT